TACTAAATGAGTAGCCCAGGATCCCAGAATTAGGTTAGCGGGAAGCCTGGATTAGAACTTCAGACAATTTGACTACAAAATAGCCTATATTCTCAAGCACTGTACTATTACTCTATTTCTCCTAGATAAAAATCTCTGCAGGTTATTATTTTTCTTATGTAAGTGTCAAGAAATTTAGGCTCAGGGAATTTAAGTAGTTTGCCCAAGGACACAGCTAGGAAATGATGGAATCAGAATTGAACTTCAGGTGGAATGACTCCTGAGCCCTTAGTTTTAACCATCACCCCATACGTTTGTGTTGTATCCCATCAACTTCTGAAATTTTAATTGTTCACTTATTAGAGATATGAAACTCACTTTGTTGCACCTTAATCCCTCCTATATTTTCTGGTTAAAATATATGTATACCAACACACCCCCACTATTCTTGTTTATAAATCTGCCACCCTTCCAGAGTCTTGTGACATTAGAATTCATTTCAGTGGAATTGTTTATAGGTGGAAGGAAACAATATGTGTGTAACACAGTGCCTACCTTCAAGGAGTTTGCTTTCTGGTTGGAAAAGACCTAAGTATGGAGGTTGACGTAAAACAAGAAACAGGATGTACCTGCTTAAGTCTAAGTAGGTGAACTTAGGTACTAGATACTTTGGAACAAGTTAAGATTGTTAAGATAAAAAGAGATTTTGCTTTGGGGGCCTGAGAACCCTGAAGATGAAATATAGGATATTATTACTATAGTTGTTTCGCTTTCAGGTATTTCAAATATTAAGGTATTTTTGATTCAGCTATGTGGAGATGGATAACATAATTTATGTTTAATATTTACATACCTTTAATTTGGCTTAAAAGTATTTTATATATTTTAAAATATAATGAATTGTTAGCATGTTTTAATTGGTACAAATATGTTACTGCTTCTTTCATAGATTGATATATTTTATAGCTTTCAATGGTTCTTGTTTTAATTTCTGACATTCTTATATTATCTGTATCATGCTGGGTTTTTTATGGTTATAAGACTTGCTTTGAAGTACTCATTTGGAAATAACTTGTTTTAGAATATAGCAATAAATAGTGTATTCCTTTGTTATCTAAACTTTTCACAACCTTTATAGGTTACCTGTTTGTTAAGATCACTTTTATAAGCTAGTATTATGGGTTGCAAAGTTCTGGAGATGAGTGGTGAGAGTGTGTCTGTATGTGTGTGTACTCAGTGGTAGCATAGCAGAATAGATTAGAAAGAGTATGTGTTTGAAATTATACACAGCTTTATTAATTTACACAACTTTGGGTAAAATACGTCATTTCTGAGTCCGTTTTTCCCTCTATAATGGGAATATAGCAAGGTTGTTGTATTAAATGAGAATGTGCAGCACATAGCATATCACAGATGTTCAAAAGTATGTTTATTAATAAAAATACTAGTTAATATGAAAAACACAGATTGAAGGGGGACCATGGTATTTTCTTTGTAAGTTTTCTCTTGAGAGATATCCCCCATGTTGGGTAAACAGAGAAAGAAGAAAAAAAAAAACTGAAATGATTGGTTTTGACATTTGTGACTTTGGGAAATTTATAGGGAGGGAGATTATTTGCATTACCGTGTACCCTTTTGACATAGGTGATTCAGGACAAAGGCCTTTTTTTTTCTTAATGTACCTCTTTAACAGATTTTTAAGGCTTTATTCCCTATCCAAATGGGAAGGTAGGATTATTTTATTTCTTCAGTGAAAAATCAAATGATTTATATCATTTTAGAGTTAGGATTTCTACATTATGAAATGTTTGCTTTTCCCTTTAAAATATGAATCAATGATTGATTAAATTCACCAATTTAGAAATTGTTAGACAATCTTAAATTTCATTTGTTTAAACTTTGCATTCTAGAAAATAAAATACATCTGGCAGATTAAAACTGATCTTGGTAAAAATATGAATAAAACTATTTCATGGTTTTTATAATCTTATAAAATATTTCTCCATCTTTAAACTTTTATGAGTCCATTGCAGGCATATTCTTACTGCAACTGTCATCATAGGGTTAAACATTTGCTTTATTGTAACACACGAAAGCAGTTAAGCCGTTAGGAATTGTTTACTTGCTAAAACCACTGTTAGTCAGCAGAGGCAGTACACCAGATTTCCTTGTGGCTTTTAGTGGAAAATGTTAAAAGCGCACTCATTTTTCAGTTATAGAATTTTTTAGTTTGATCTGGATTAGTCACAGAACTGGCATGAACCTTCTAATTGTGAAGGCTGTCCAAATGCACTATTTTTTTCTCCTGCTAGAGGAAGTTACATCCCGAGCAGTAGCTCAGATCTCTGGTAAGTGTAACATGTGAGCATTACTAGGCATTTCATCCTGCGGGTCTGCAGTCTTTGCTCTTCAGACTGTTGCTCCATTGGAATGCTTCTGTGGGACCGATACTGAGGTTCTATAGATATTTTTTAAGGACCTACTTATTTGGGGATGTCAGCGGTGTTTTGCAAGATCATCTGAGGAACAGGAAAGCATTTGAAATCTGAAAAGGATAACTGTAGCGGTTTTCACAGTGGAAGGAAACTATATTGGCAAAGAGGCAGATGATTGAATAAAGTAGTTGGCTCAAAGAAGATGCACAGTCTGCTGTTTTTTCCTCTGAATGAAGACTGTTTAATGGAAGCTGTATTCATGTGGAGATCAAAGGAAACACTGGAATGATAAACTACTATGTTTTTTTTTTCTCTCTCTCTTTTTTTTTTTTTTTTTTTTTTAAGAAAACAAAAAGCCTGCAGCAGTAATTTGAGCTCAAATGCCTTCTAATTCCTTCACAGCCTGCTTGTTCTATTAGGATTCTCCACTAACACCATTTCTGCCTGGTGCCTGTGCCCTTTTGCTGGAGCAGCCACAGACAACTGCCTGATGGAGAAAGAATGAATGCTCTGCCTTGCTTATACTATCGATGGAAATAAAGCTAACTGTGTTTCTTCTATTATATGGGAAATCTGGATTAATCAAGCTGTATTCTAGTACCAAGAGTCGTATTGTCTCTTGTGGTCTGACTCATCACATGTAAATGTACTGCAGCTTTGCTATTAATGCAGAGTGGTTTTGTTTTTTCTTTTTTTCGCCCCTTTCCCAAACACTGAAAGAATTGTTAACCTCTGAGCTTCATTTTCAGGATTTGTGCTGAGCTCTAGATCTTTTTTTCTGTGAATAGTGTCTGCATTAAACCAGTGATGAAGAAATGAAGACAAATTAGAAGTGGAAACAGAATAGTGAGATTTTATTTTTTATTTTCAATTATAAGCAAAACAGCTACTGGTAACTCTATGACCTTGCAGGAAACAGTGGGTATTGCTGTGATCATCGCTGTCATAGCAGTTGTTTCTCATTTCATTCTATATTGTGTGGTGGTGTGTCACCAAAAACAATGATTGTTTTGTGGAAGTAAATTTCAGAGATAGAGCAATAAGACTCTTTTGGTAGAGGAAAAATATTTTTAAATGAGCTTGGACTCAGTTTTAGTTATTGATATGTTGGTGTGAAATTGCTTCTTAAGTATTGCAGTAACCCAACAGAAATAATAGAATTTTGTTATATTTAGGAAGTTACAAATTATGTAGTCATAATTTTAAACTTGTTTTTCCAGTAGTACTTATTAACTTAAAAAAAAAAAAAAAAAACCAGTTGTGCTGTTCGGAGAATGTTTGTAAGTGTTGTACAGAAGAGGAGGAAAAACTACTTGTGCTCTTCCAACTGTGACTTTTATCACATAGCTTGGAATTTAGTGTTTTAAAAGATCGAATGAGTCGAGTGTGTATTGTTGTTTTGGAGGAGGTAGAAGATGAGTCTCCTGCATTCATTTCTAAATTGCCACAGGAAAATAAATCCCTACATTCTCCACCTTCTGGAAATGTATTGGTAAGATATGTAAGTTTATATGTTTACTATATTCTACTGAACTAGTAGTATAAATCTTGTTTTTTAAGAATAGATGTAGATTTCCAATAGTTTCTTTACAAACCCAAATTAAAGCAATATATGTGTAAATATGATGCAATAATATTTTTGTATAAAATGCACATTTCATTTTTACTTTTTCGAATAACATTTCAGTCTTTACTATGTCTTAATCTCTTAAAAAGACTGTTTAAAAATAATTTAAGAATTAGTAGTTATGGCAACCACGTTTCTGTTTTCATTTTGTGGTTTCAGAAACTGATGTAACAAGAATCAGGAACTCTGCATATTTTAGGAAAGGTTGACTACCCCTAGCAATACCAAAGCATGGCCTTTTCTGTAATGAATTTTATGTATTTACATGCCAGACTTTGTATGAGATTCAGTCTTCATCTTTAACCTTGGTTTTAGTGCTACTGTCAGCCGGCTCCTTGACTAGTATAGTATACCTTATCAAGAGTCTGTGTCGTTAAGAAATCATTATACTTAGTTATGCATGTGTTTGTCTTTTCAAGTTATTTAAGTATCCAGTATTTTTTGGTCTTTGATTAGTGGCTGTTTTCATCAACTGCCAGGTTTGCTTTCTTGGGATTTGTATCTTTGTACCTGTAGTGCTAATCCATGTAAGATAATTTGATGCCCCAAACAGACCTTTTCAAAAGAGCCTTCCTTCATGGGCTGGAAATTGCTTAACAAGTTCTGTCCCACAAGTAGGTGTTGAGATCACACATTTGTATTTGGAAGAGTCTTTCTTTTTGTCATATACAGAAACAAAGGCTTCTACTTATAAGAAATAAAATAAAATCTGATTGTGTTTATTATACTACCTAAATTGGGTCAAACTGAATTCATTTTTTTTTTTTTTTAAATTAGGCCTTTTTTTTCCAAGTAGAAATCCTGTACTTTGACATGATTTGGTTTTATGAAACTTCTGGCTAATGTCAAAAGTGATTATTGCTACAGGGAAGAAAACTTGTAGATTCGGAAACTATGTAATATCCTTAGTCACCCCACATGGATGATTCTAATGTTTTTATTACTCTCTTACATTTTAGCCATCACTGGTGCAAGCTATATTTAACGGAGATCCTGATGAAGTTCGAGCACTAATATTTAAGAAAGAAGATGTTAACTTTCAGGTAAAACAGTTAATTCACTGATGCCAGCCTTTAAAACTACTTATTAAAATTATTTCCTATAATTGTGATTTTTGTTTATAAGACATAATATAACTCTGTAACAGTTGTTTTAAATGAGAGCAGGAAGGTATTGAGGCAAAAGGGAAAACATTGGACATACACTCAGGGCGGTAATAGCCAGTAGGGGTCTTTTGTTCTCCCAGCTTTTTACTTTGAAATTTTTCAAACACAGGAAAGTTAAAAAAAAACACTCTGACTACCCATATACCTTTCACTTATGTTTGGCATTGATAACATTTTACCATATTTGCTTTATTGATATACATCTTTTACATGTATATGTAGTAAGTTGCAGAAATCATGATACTTCACCATTAAATACTTAACGGTGCATTTCAAATGAGGATTCTTTTAAGTGTATATCTAAATGTAAGATCAAATTTGCTTTTTGTAAATAATCATGGTGAGTGTTTTATAATAATGGTTGATTAATTTTTGTCAGATTAGGTTTTCAGTAAAGTCATTGTTCGAAAAGTTTTCAGACTTAAAGATATAGTAGTATATTCACTGCTGACATGATGAACAGTTTTAGAAAGAGTGGATATATCGATAATTTTCTCTCTGTATGTTTTTTCAGTGGCCAGTATGTAGTTTACTAAATTGTAGCTGAAAGTACATTATGTACTCTAACAAAATTACATCCACTAATGTATATATTTTTACCAGAAACAAATGTACCCCTGAGTTATGGAGGGAGTGAAAAGTCATATGATTCACAAAGTCGCTGTGGCAACACCAAAACAGACGACCTAGAAATGATTGTGGTTTTAAGAAAGCACCCGTTGCAAGCTCATTTTTAACTCTCATCTTTCCTCCTTTTTTTTTTCTTAATACAATACTGCTGTGACCACTTAGGTAGATACAAAAAGGTTTTAGCTTATTTTTAAAATAATGGATTATCTGAATAGATTTGAGGCATTGGCTAAAACTGTTGTTAATTTTAACATTGGGTAATGAACAGAATGCTGTCATTATATATTTTTTAAAGCTTTTTCTAAGTGAATTGACTTCAAGTTTATATTTAGTTGGAAACATGCACCTAATTCAGGATATATGTATATATGTATGTATTTAGAGACAGAGTCTGGCTCTGTTGCCCACCTGGAGTGCAGTGGCATGATAGCTCACTGCAACCTCTACCTCCCAGGTTCAAGCGATTCTCCTGCCTTGGCCTCCCGAGTGGCTGGGACTACAGGCACCTGCCACCACGCCCAACTAATTTTTGTGTTTTTAGTAGAGACAGAGTTTCATTCACCATGTTGGCCAGGCTGGTCTCAAACTCCTGATCTCAGGTGATCCGCCCGCCTTGGCCTCCCAAAGTGCTGGGATTATAGGCATGAGGCACTGCGCCTGGCCATGGTTTGTTTTAAATGGAGTGTCTGGTCACTTTACCCAGGGTATACTGAAGAGTGTGCATTTCTAAGAAAATAGCTAAAGGGGTATATAGATGCACGAAAAGGTGGAAAACATGTTTTCTGTTCCATTTAACTCCTAAGGTTTTCTTGTTATTTTGGTTTTATTTTAATAGTACTGACAAATACTACCTTGATTAGAAAGTTTGAACTGTAATTCCGTTTACCAGGGCTAATTTCTCCATCATAACAAAGTTTATTACAGCTAACATTACTTTTATGTTATATTTAATTAATTTGTCCTAAATTAAAAAAATATTCAGAGTCGTTGAGAGCATCAGCTCATTCATCAGTAGTCCTTTCTTGAGAGTGACTCTGACATTGTCTTCAGTGATACAGAGGTTTTTGACAACTTTTATGATTGCCTTTAGGCCTTTTCTCTCATGACCATTTCTTAGTAGTAGAGAGTGTTGCCTTAAAGTCAAGATTTATTAACTTTTTGGCCATTATTTGAATTTAAGATGGTAAATATCTTATGATTTTGTTTGATAAGGAATCATATGGGGTTTTAAAAGGCAGTGGGTGTTAAATGCCCTTTTAATTGGTAATAAAATATTTTTAAGCTTTATGTCAGTGTGACTGTGGTGTTTTTCCAAAGTAAATTTATTTAAATAAGTATTTGGAGAATAACACTGGACTTTTTGAAACTCAAGTTTCTCTTAAGTTTTTTGAAGTTTTTTTTATACATTTTTAGAATGGATATAAGTTCAGATTTATTTTTCTACCATTAAATAGTCATTGTATAATTTTAGATTAGTTTCTTTAGTCACACCCTGAAATTTTGAATTTTGTAGACCACTAAACAGCACCTTTCTTAGTAACACACCAAATAGATTTTTCTTTTTATTTTAGTGGGTTTTAAAAAAAATTTGTGGGTACATAGTAGAAGTCTATATTTATGGGGTACATGGGATGTTTTGGTACAGGCATATAATGTGAAATAATCGTATCATGAAGAATGAGGTATTCATCCCCTCAAGCATTTATCCTTTGATTTACAAACATTCCAATTACATTATTTAAGTTATTTAAAAATATACAATTATTATTGACTATAGTCACCCTATTGTGCTATCAAATAGTAGGTCTTATTCATTCTGTTTTTTTTGTACCCATTAACCATCCCCACCTCCCACTTAACCCCCTACTACTCTTCCCAGCCTCTGGTAACCATCCTTCTGCTATATCCGTGAGTCCAATTGATTTGATGTTCAGATCCCACAAATAAGTGAGAACATGTGATGTTTGTTTTTCTGTGCCTGCCTTATTTCGGTTAACATAATGATCTCCAATTCTATCCATGTTGTTGCAAATGACTAGGTCTCTTTTTTTATGGCTGACCAGTACTCCATTGTGTGTGTATGTACCACATTTTCATTATCCATTCATCTGTTAATGGACACTTAGATTGCTTCCAAATGTTAGCTATTGTAAACAGTGCTGCAACAGGAGTGCAGATATCTCTTTGATATTCTGATGTCCTTTATTTTGGATATATACACAGCAGTGGGATTGCTGGATCATATGGTAGCTCTGTGTTTAGTGTTTTGGGGGACCTCCAAACCGTTCTCCACGGTGGTTGTACATTCCCACAAATGGTGTACAAGGGTTCCCTTTTCTTCACATCCTCACACTGCCTGACTCTTGGATAAAAGCCATTTTAACTGGGACAAGATGATATCTCTTTGAGTTTTGCATTTCTCTGATGATAGTGATGTTGAGAACCTTTTTGCCATTTGTGTGTCTTCTTTTGAGAAATGTCTATTCAGATCTTTTGCCCATTTTTTATCAGATTATTGGGTTTTTTCCTGTAGAGTTGTATGAGCTCCTTATATTCTGGTTATGAATCCCTTGTCAGAGGGGTAGTTTGCAAATATTTTCTCCCATTCTGTGGGTTGTCTCTTCACTTTGTTGATTACTTCCTTTGCTGTGCAGAAGGTTTTTAACTTGATGTGATCCCATTTGTCCATTTTTGCTTTGGTTGCCTGTGCCTGTGGTCTATTCCTCAGGAAATCTTTGCCCAGACTAATGTCCTGGAGATTTTCCCCAGTGTTTTCTTGTATTAGATTCAGTTTGAGGTGTTTAATGCATTTTGATTTGATTTTTGTGTATGGCAAGAGATAGGGGTCTAGTTTCATGATTTTGCATGTGATTATCCGGTTTCCCAGCACCATTTATTAAAGAGACTATCTTTTCCCAGTGTATGTTCTTGGCACCTTTGTCAAAAATGAGTTCGCTGTAGGTGTTTGGATTTGGTTTTGGGTTCTCTATTCTGTTCTATTGGTACTTGTGTCTGTTTTTATGACAGTACCATACTGTTTTGGTTACGATAGCTCTGTAGCATAATTTGAAGTTAGATCATGGGAATCCACCAGTTTTGTTCTTTTTGCTTGGAATGGCTTTGGCTATTCTGGGTCTTTTGTGGTTCCATATAAATTTTAGTATTTTTTCTATTCCTGTGAAGAATGTCATTGGTATTTTGATTGGGATTGCATTGAATCTGTAGATCGCTTTGGCTAGTGTGGACATTTTAACAGTATTGATTCATCGAGTCCATGAACATGGAATATTTTTCCATTTTTTGGTATCCTCTTCAATTTTCTTCATTCGTGTTTTATTTTTTCCATTACAGAGATCTTTTACTTCTTTGGTTGATTCCAAAGTATGTAATTTTATGTGTGGCTATTGTAAACAGGTTTACTTTTTAACTTCTTTTTCACATTGTTCACTGTTGGCATATAGAAATGCTAGTGATGTTTGTACATTGATTTTGTGTTCTGGAACTTTACTGAATTTATCAGTTCTAGTTTTCTTGTGGAATGTTTAGGTTTTTCCAAATATAAGATTATATCACCAACAAACAGGTATAATTTGACTTCTTCCTTCCCAATTTGTGTGTCCTTTATGTCTTTCTCTTGTCTGATTGCGCTAGATAGGACTTCCAGTACTATGTTGAATAACAGTGGTGACAGTGGGCATTGTTGTTGTGTTGCAGGTCTTAGAGGAAAGACTTTCAGTTTTTCCCCATTCAGTATGATACTAGCTATGGGTCTGTCATATGTGGCTTTTATTATATTGAAGTATGTTCCTTCCATATCCAGTTTTTTGAGGGTTTTTTATCTTGAAGGAATGTTGAATTTTTTAATCAAATGTTTTTTCTGCATCAATTGAAATGATCACATGGTTATTCTTTTTTTTTTTTTTTTTTTGATATGATATATCTTGTTAATTGATTGTGTGTTTTGAACCATCCTGGCATCCCAGAGCTAAATCCCACTTGGTCATGATGAATGATCTTTCTAATACATTGTTGAATTCAGTTTGCTGGTATTTTGTTGAGGATTTTTGCATCAATATTCATCAGAGATACTGGCCTGTAGTTTTCTTTTTTTGATGTGTCTTTGTCTGGTTTTGGTATCAGGGTAATACTGGCCTTGAATGAATTTGGAAGTATTCCCTCCTCTATTTTTTAGAATATTTTGAGTAGGATTGGTATTACTTTCTTTTTTAAATGTTTGTTAGAATTCA